CAGACACCACATATTTGATAAGTACAGTTTGTTCCATGTCCTCAAAGCTACTATTACAGAACTCACATTTCTTCATAGACTACTAGAATGCATAACAAGTGAGTTTCTACTATGCTTGTAAAAATGGAGTGACCATGGCAGATAAAGAAAAGGCAGATTCACTTACACTCCCCCACCCCCAAATGGTAAATCAACTTTAAAACATAAAAAATTAGCTCGCAATAACTCATAAATAATAATGTTATAATTGCTTGACCAATAATGTTATCATATGTTTTGGGAAAGTATTACAGCGTTTGTTTAATAAAAATAATACAACACAACGAGCTTTTAAATTAAAGAAGTCATGATGTAGACAAATGAACACTGGGTCTCATATATTGGATGTAAGGGAGTGTGACAATTTGTGATAAGCTGCAATCAGTTAGATGCTCGATTTTATTTTTCAAATGCAATAGAGGTGTGACGCTAGCTTTTGATTGGTAGCTCTGGGCTACACTTTTACTTTCCCTTCCCTTAGCTCATGAAATCTAGTGGGAGATTAGGAGTTACTGCTCCAGCAGTATGTGTATACATGTGGATAAAACATATAGAGCTGGAGAAATAAATGCATTTTTTACCCTAGAATAAAATCTTATCTAAAACAAACCGAGCACTTTGCACAGTAAAGCTGCATGAAATCTATTTGCAAGAGAGCAGGAGCAGGCAGTTTACAGATGAATTCTCTGTAGAGGTCTTTGCAATGACTGTACTTAGTCTTTACATTCTCTCTGCTGAAATGCAACTGGAAAATATGCCAAGAAAAAGCCACAGAATTGACAATTATGAATATTTCTGCAGATAGGATAAAAGCATAATCCCAACTATGATGAACAAATGAGATATGTTTTTAAAAGATATAATTAATTAAATGGAACCAACATGAGGGGGGTCCAGACAACGGCTACCTGCATGCTTACCTCAGCTGGTTAGTGTATGATAGTATTTATAGCCAATAACAGAACATGAGGCTCAAGGACTTTTCCATTTCACTACATTGCGTGCTAAGGGCCTACAAACACTGCACTACACACCAGTACATGTCAGCTTTACTGCTCGTATCACATTATATGCTTCTGTTTCCATACAGCATGCTGTAAAATCAGACCAGGTCAGTCAGTGTGCTACTATATTATCAAGTGCAAACATCAGTGCACATTTGTGTAACAGTTATTGTGCCCTCAATACATTTTTATTTTTTTTAGCTCAGACAGCTTATTTTGCCAGTTTGTGGCCTCTCTTCTCCCCTTCATACTGATATGACAGCCTGTGTCCTGTTTTTCACCTACCCCACCACCAGACTGTGGATGGTACCTTCTAGAATGCAACTCTATTGTAACCATGCAACACCTTTGCCATTCTCTTGTAATCAAGTCATTCAAACCATTTCGCGCAGCACATATAGTTTGCTACCATGCACTGCCATACAAGCTCCCCATCCACTTTGTTCAGTCCACCCATTACACTGATTTACCAGCATTCAGTGCAAGACTATGGTCCCTTAACCCACATCAAACCTATAAAGATTGATCAGATTCATCTCATTCTCTTTCATATGGTTATATAGTTAGGTCTGTGGTCCCTCACTACTAGCTGTGATATACCCTGCACATGACATGCCCACTTATATTTCTTTCCTGCAGCCACTGATATGTTAGCCAATATCAAGCCTTTGGTTCCTACAAACTGGCACAGTTACACTTATTTTTGCTATTCTCATTCTTGTAGTACACTTATATATTGATGTGTCCTTCTCACATAAACAATGTGTTGGTTGGACTCCACAGTTAGGGGCACCCCTCACCTTAATTGCGGCTAAGCATTCACAGAGAATGGCACAAGTAGTTCTGTTTGCATTACTTACACAATATAACTTGTATATAAAAAGTTCTGAAATGAAAATGCCTGTTTCAACAGAGCTAACAATTAGATTCTCCCTTTCATGTTTTTTTGGAAGCTTAGAAGATGAAAGGGTAAACAGTGATTAGTTGCTGTGCACAATCTAAGCACCTTTAAACGGTTTATGTATCAGTTTGAGTACCGTGTATGATATTTCTAAAAGTTGAAAAGACATAGGGCATATATCATAATGCTCAAAACCTTGTCATTGCTCCATAGTCGGGCAACAGACATTGGATGGTGTTGGTAGGTTACCCTTAAAGTTACGCTTGTCTTGCGGTAGCAGCTGCTTACTAAAAGTAAAACAACCCCAACCAGTGAGTTTGAAACCCATTGGCCATGAGGTCTATAGAGCTATCCTAATCATTTTTTGAACCTGCCTAAACTGAGAAAATTTGCACTCACAAGCAAGTTAGTTTTAGGTGGTGTTGCTAAGAACACTGAAAGGTACTTATCAAAGTGTCTAACAGAAGAACTGTCTTCCACTTGCCAAGGTTTTAAAAACTGGAAGTAAGACCATTATTAGTTACAACACAAATAGTTCTTATTAAAATCACTTGGATAAATAAAGTCCACTGCTTCTGTCTACAAAATTGCTATCTTTAATATGTGTAACAAAAATGCACTTTAAAAACTGAATGCATATCAAGCTATTCTTTGTTTGTATGGTGGTAACGTGTAACAAGGACTTATATGTGGCTATTAATTTTATTATGCTGAACATACAATTAAAAAAATTAAATACATTCCTTCAAAATTCAGTTTTTCTTATTAAAATGGGAATATGCCCTGAAGAACAGCAAGGCTTTAATACAAGATTATATTACAATACATAGACATTCTCTGAAATAAAATAATTAGAATAATTAAAGAGAAAGAGAACAGAACGCTACAAATAATCAAACCACAGATTTGTTTTAATGCAAAAATTTTTTTACCTGAGTGTATAGATAATATGCTATAATATTTATATATATTTATACTATATACTTGCCAACTTTAAGTAAAAAAACAAAACAACCCACTTTTTAAAAAGGCGCAACTCAGGAGAAAAATAGGAAATGCATTGAGGTGTTGCCTTTTAAGCTGGGAAACCATAAAAGCTATATGAAGAATAGCAATACATTTTAAAGGATTTACACGTGTCTAGTTGGTATTTCTTTTAAATAGTGCAAACAGTATGAGTGCACTGTAAATTCATAACAGCCAATTGCTTTTATTAACTTACGATGCAGTGTCCTGCTCTCTGATTGGCTGCCATGGCTTAGATTTCAGATATGCAATTTGGGCCTGTTGGCTAAGCTTCTTCAATAACAGATGAAATAACAGTGGGAGCTGCATTTTCTGATTACACTGCATTCGTTTCATCCCTTCCACATTAGAATGTGCACAGTCTTAAATTCAGAATCCAGGGGAGCTGTACTTTTTAACTCTCCTATATGCATAACTTAAGAACCCAGATGAAGTTCTCCAATAAATACAGGAAGCCATAATTATTACAAGTGCCATTCATTCTAATGAGGATCACTTTGTTTTTTGGGTTGCAGAGAAATGGCACTTTGATACAATAAATCGGGACTAGTACCTCCGAGTCTGATGAAATGTTATTAGCAGTTTGGACCATGTTATTAAATATTCTTAAAAATAATTAATAGCTTATAGCATTAACCAGTAGTAACCGTTAAGATTTTATTTACTAAACTCAAAGAAAAGGTGAAATGTGACAGACTGCAATTGGACTCTTTGTACATAGTCATTGAACTGCCATATTTAAATAGCCTGTAGTTGTATAACCATTACCTATACCAAGTTGGAGACAGTTTGTATATTGTAGCATTTGCTTTTAACCATCAGTATGTTAGGGACTCCCGACTTCATGGGATGTTTCCCCCACACTGTGAAACATAAAAATTCCACGTGCCATAAAGTCTTGCACTATCTATAGATTCTGTGACCTTGACCAGCCATGTTTTTTGTAAAATATGTGGCAACTTATAGCAGGCTTATTGTTTCAACAGCACACTAAACATTAAAAAATGAATAAAACTGTGTTACAGTGATTATGTGTTTACAGCTGATTACTCCAATTTTTAATCACCTTCTCTTGTGCATTAAGCTTCTGGCAGACATATATATTGACTCCACGAGATGTTGAAAGGTGATGCGAGTAATCTGACACTGCACTGTTGCCCTTCTCCTGTCTTGTACCATTCTTGCCACTCTCCGTTCAGCACTGACATTGACTAGTCGCTGACGGCCACAATTTGCACGTTCAGACCCAGATTTTCGGCTGACAGTCCAGTCTTTAAACACTTTAACAACAGCTGCTCTTGAACATTTAATGAATTCTGCTGTTTTGCTGATACTCGCTCTATGGCTCCGAGCGCCAACAATCATCCCACGTTCAAAGGCTGTTAAATTGCGTTGTTTACCCATATCTTCAGAAAAAAATCACTTCTACTGTCGTGGTAAACAACCTGCTTCCCTATTTATAATGGTCTGGCCCTCTAGCAATTTCAGCGTGAAATTATAGCTAATTTGCCTACAAACGTCAGGTGGTCATAATAATCTGGCCACTCAGTGTATATCCATGGATATAAATCAGTGTGAACAGCCTATATAGAGGCACAGACTGAACTCAAGTATTCCTAAAAGCCACTATGATTGGGTAAACACTTCCAGCACACATCATAGACTCCCAATTGATTGTTGATATTCACATGTAGTGTAGTATATCAGCTCTTGCCATTTGATACAAGGGAAGAAGGTGCAGAATTGTTCTTCATTTCTTATAAATGGTATGCATGACAGTAATTGCATGATATTTTAAATTTAGCTCACACTGAAGATTCCTTTTTTCCTAATCTTATATTATAAGACCACCTTAAAATACCTAAAATAAAAATATTACAGAGGAATAGAAAGATTTTACTAAGTAAGTAAATATGTTGGCATTTTTCTCCTTGTTTTTATAAACATACAAAATAGGTAAACAACTTACATGCATACACACATACACACAAATACATACATATGCATTTACACATGCATACGCATACACACACACACGCACACACAAACACACTCGTGAGTCTGCATGTAAGGTAAGTCTACCCGTTTCATAGTGAAGATCATGAATTAACACGAAATACGAAAAATACTAGAGGTAGTCTGCTGTTTGTGGGGTTTTTTTGTTTGTTAGTGATATTTTTCTGATGTAAGAAACTGTTCAAATTGTTTTTTTTTGCTAAAGGCTTCTGTGCAACAAGTCTAACTGTTCAATGTATATAAACATTGTTTAATGCAAATATCCATCCATAGGTCCTATGTAAACGAAGTGCTTGATGATCTTTTCCAACTGTATCCAAAAACAGGTGTCAAAGTCCACTTGGATGCCACACTGCCTGTCAATAAATGTACTGTAAAATTCAGGCAAACTATTTTCTTAATGACAATGTAATTTTTCTTCATAACAAAAGATTTCCAAATAGTGGACTGTTCTCCTTGGAATGGATAGTTCTTTATGTTTGGTAGAAATGATGATAGTGGTGGTGATGTTCATGGTGATGATGATGCTCATGTCTTTGTATCAAGTGTCCAGAGTGGCCTTCATAAAGTAACATGCTTGGTAGATCCCTCACATGCTCATTCTCCACAACATTTACTGGGGACTGGAAGGCTTTACACATCTGGTGGCTTTCCTTAGCTTTCTGCTTGCTCTTTCTGTGTGGCTGCTGAGGTGGTAAAGGATGATATGGATAGCCCTGTCCCATAAGAGCAGCTGGTGAAGTTACGGGAATAGACATAGCATGGTTAGGTTTGCTTCTCGGTGTCCTTCCTGGTTGGCTGATCGATGCAGTAACATGTTTAGTTGAAGCTTTGGGACTTTTTACAGAATGTTTGTTGGACTCCTGGCCTCTTTGCCTTTGCTGAAGTTCTACCATCTTTGGATGAGAAGGGTCTAATAGACAGAAATGCCCATGATCCAATGCCTGGGACCTCCTCTGGTGGAGGTACAGGGTTTCTGGTTCATGCGACCGAGATCTCATCTGATTAGAAGGTCTTGCGTGGGAATCTGTTTTTTCACCTGTGGTTGGAGAACCTGAGAAACACAAACATTTTATTATATAAGACGCTAACACAGAATCCAAATTAGTCAAAATGAATTCCGATTTATTTGATATGAAATGAGAACAAAATCTGATATGCATTTTCTGGGTATAAAATACACCCAATATTTATTTTCAAATTTATTTTCCAGGTTGGCCCACTCAGCAGGTCTTCTGTGGAATTTACCCTTCTTTTCCATTTCTGTGTGAAGGACATAGTTAGGTGTCTCCTCAGCCCCCAAAAAAGAGATGGCACTTAGATTACTGGCTTACCAGAACAGAGCTAAAATAGTAGGAAAGCAGGCAAGTGAGGTGTGGAGAACCCTAACAAAGTACGATTATTATAGGACAACAGAGTTTTCCCAATTTTTTAAAGTCAATTTCCCCTTTCGCAGGCAAATTGCAATAACACCTATTTTATATTTGTTACATGTTCTCATTGACGTAGTATAACTAATAAAATAAAACACTGCTGATTATGTATTACATGCTCTATTATGAAATAAGCAATTGTATCTGCACAGAATTTTTCTCAGTAATGCTGGGCAGGTTAATGTTGAATCAGTTGTAAATTAGATATTTGCATGAGGATAGTCAGAGTTTCCTTTCACTTTAACATTGAATTGAAATTGAGATAGAAACTTCCAAAGGTCTGCTACACAGGGATATCTAAAACATGAGGAATATTTTTTTAAATCATTTTTAGATATGCTGTGTGAATAGGAACATATAACAAACATATAGTAGGGGTAGTCTCTAATTTAACTTCAAAAGTAGAAAACACTCTAAATTATTTTCTTTTTTTACTTAAAAAAACTCCCTAAAAGTGTAACATTTGTAAACTAACTAGCCCAGTTTATGCCATCAACTAAGAAAATCCATAAATATAAGACTTTACTTTAGTTAGACATCAGATGTAAATTGCAGAAATTATAGAAATAAAGTGTATGGCAATAGTTTTGGGTAGAGTGGGGAAGGGTCAGACCCCCTATCAAGGCTGTACTACTTTCACCGCTGAGGAGATTCACCCTCTATGTCTACCCTGGTGACTATTATCATTGAGACAGTAAGAGATGGGAAATCAAACATTTTAGAGTTGTCAGCAGAACAAGAGGTGGGAGTAAATCTTTCAATGGGGACACTTGGTAGTAACTGTCTAAAAGGAGAATTCCCCTTACATTTAAAGAGATTCCCCCTCATTTCCTATTGCATTTCCGAGAAAGGAATTTAAGGGAAATCTCCCTAACAGAATGCAAATAGCATAAACAAACCTTACCTACTCTAGCCAAAACTAAAAAAATAAAGAAGTTTGGGCTACACATACACTCTAAAGAGGATCCTGTAAATCGAAATGCCCTTTACAACAGAAAGAAAACACACCACACTTTTTTTCATTTATTTTCAACTGGTGATCCTGCAAATAACACACTTCCTGTTAATGTCTACACTTTTTCCTCCTCTTTATCTATGTGGGCAAGCATGGTTGTCACACAGTCTGAACATCAAATATATCTGCCTTTGTTCATCTACATTACATGGTGTATTGATTGGACTAGTAGTTTACACAATATAGATAATATCAGCTATCAAACAATGCTCAGCACTTTACCAACGTTTCAAAGATTTTCTCCTAGTTTATAGATTTATATTATTTTTATTAATATATATTTTTCATTTTGATATTTAATTGCTGACCCCACCTACAGTAGGCGCCATGTAGGATTATCTACCTTTTTGTAATTTTTTGCTTAGCGATCTGACACTCTAGCTTTTTAAATGATTCTTTCTATCACTTATTAAATGTGTTTATTTTTCTCCTACATTGGACAGAGACAGAAAATTGTATACTTACCTATCGGTAATTTTCCTTTCCTGATGCCAATACATGGCAGCATACAATGGGTATGGATCCGCCCCCAGCCCAATCACAGGACCAGTTATACAATAAATTAAAGCCCGCCTCCCAAGGCCACCATTCTCGTAACAAGTACTCAATGCGAAAGCCATGGGAGGGTCCTGTATGCTGCCATGTATTGGCGTCAAGAAAGGAAAATTACCGATAGGTAAGTATACAATTTTCCATGTTTCTGACGCCTACATGGCAGCATACAATGGGATCTAACGAGCACACAACCAGGGTGGGTCATTCTGAGACATTTATTTATTTGTACCACTGGTAAACACATTCAGAAACAACTTCCCCATGGGCAAGACTCCTGGATAGACCCTGTAATGGGACAGGAATGGTGGCCTTGGGAGGCAGGCTTTAATTTATAGTATAACTGGTCCTGTGATTGGGCTGGGGGCAGAACCATACCCATTGTATGCTGCCATGTAGGCATCAGGAAATAATAATTTAAAGAGCTAGAGTGTGAGATCTCTGAGCAGGAGAAAAATTAGAAAAGGTAGATAGTCCTACAGCTATAGGCCGTGTCAGCAATTAAATATAAAACATCAAAATGAAAAATATATTAATAAAAATTATAATATAAATATATAAAATAGGAGAACATTTGTGAAAAGTAGGTAAAGTGCTGAGCTAGCATTGTTTGATAGCTGATAGTTTTACATTTCTCCCACAAGTAATGCTATTTTAGAAAAATACAGGGATCGTATGTGTATGTTACAATAAAAATAATGTTCTTTATGCTTTCATTTAAGGTGACAGGCATTGACAAGGGCATTGCCTTTTCTATTAATGTAACAGGCATTTCCTGTACTTGCTGAAAATGCTTGTAGCCTGAAAAATGAAAATGAATGCAGCCACCACATCTAAGAACTGTAAGCTACGATATATAAAATTTTTGTTTAGATACACTTTAACAAACATCACTATTACAGCTAGTGCGAACAGAAGTTACTTCACTTTCTAAAGTATCTTTTTACAATCATGCTGGTTCACATTTACACTTCTGTATTTAGTTGCTAAACATTTACTGTTCCCTTCAGATGTATAGGGAATCACTATAGCTAACAGCTACTAAATCAACATTGTATTAACAGTTGGATGTTTCTGAGATTCCCTCTATAATTCAGCGGTCATTACACCGTATTTTTAGTGATGAAATACAGCACTATCAGTGCAGAAGGGCGCATGTGTAAAAAGGTACTTTAGATCCCCAGGGCCTAAATCCAGTTAGGCAGCTGAATAATAAAATACTGACCACAATGTCTGCCTAGCATATACAGATTCTGTGAGCCATTGGATTATGCATACATATTGAAGTATAATCAATACATAGTACTGTGTACCAATGTTACTTTCAGCTAATTCATGCACATATTACGCATTAAATGTGTACAATTTCTACTTGCATTTAAAATGCTAAAGCAGTCGTCAGGCTCAGTACACTCCGGTTATGCAAACAAAACTTTCCAGGTGAACCAAACGTGAGCTTTTTATATGTCCCAACTGTCAGCAATACACACCTGGTCCAAACCTTGAAGTGTAGTTCTCTATTCCTGCAAGATCCAAATAGTGGTTTCTCCTTTCAATGTTTTCATCCACACATTGCCTCAGACATTCAGTCTGTTCTGTTTCATTTTCAGCTGGGTTATGTCTATGAGAGATAACAAAGAACAGGATACGTATGGGAACCACTCTCATAACATCAATGAACAGATAAAACAATCTGCATCAACTTTTTTTTTTTTTTGCAAGCAGGAAGAAATTTCTTATTTTCCTTGTATCACCCTGTCTTTCTTGACTCGCTCGTAAAATATACTTGTCACCTATTTATGTTGAAGGCTGCCATTGCGCAACCTCAACACATTTTTATAGAATGCATCCCTCATAGCATTGTTTCCAAAGGAATTCAAATCAAATAAACTTTAAAGCCTTACTGATAACAATAAAAGTGTCCGTCTCAGCACCTCAGATTATAAGACCTTGTGATAATAACCTACAGTAAATACTAACACCATAACATGTACAGACTAAAGCTGGGTATACACGATTCTATTTTTTTTTCCGTTGAACCTACGGGCGTAGCTTACAAGCATTGATCAAGGAATCCCCTATTGTTTCTATTGTAGTCTGACAGTGGCCGTCGGCTACTGTCTGAATACTTGAAAAGAGCCTTCACCTCACTGGCTGCTAGCTCGGTTCGTCCGATAATCTTCCAGCCTGCTCTTTCAATCAGCTGATCTAGGGATGCCGGGCAGAAGCGTGCCCCATTTCAACCTGTTCATCAAGAACTGGCCACACAATGCTTCATTTTCGTGCAGGACTAGACTGAAATTTGAGCAGCGTATGGCCAGCTTTAAGCTGAGCTCTATGCAAATGCAGAAAGCAATTAATGCATTTATATATTCATGAAAAAATTGAATTTATTGTGACAACCTGAAGCTGGCTTTGGATTGGCCATCTGTTATCTCCTGTGAAGTAGCACTAAGATCGGGAAAGGGAGGTGAAGGCACATGTTCTGACAAGGAACATGCTGACAGGGAGACAGTGTAGTGGGATACATGCACCAGTTTGCTGCTGCTCCTTCACTGTCCAATCATGGACAGCTCCCACATCAATATATCAGTTGTGTGTTTAGCTGTTTGCCTGGAGTTCAGCTTTAATTATAAGTATGGGGCAGTCACACTGAACATCACATTTTTAAAATACCTTATATATGTTTCTTATTTAATTTTTATATCCTCTATTCTATATCCTGTATTCTGCATCATTTCATCTGGTAAATAATGGCAGACACAACTGAAGTATTATAACATTGTGTGCAATTGGTGGTTACTTCTACTGAAATACTTTATAACTATTATTTGTATTTCTTGAGGAATGTTTAGGGGTCTCCTAGAACTGTCCCTGTTGATTTTCTTTATCTAGGCATAACATTTCTACCCTTCAGACATAACACTCCCTTTTATCTTTTCTTTTGTCTGTCTCTGCCTTCCAAATCCTAAACTCTGTAAATCCCAGGACCATTTGCAGTCTAGCTTCTGGGGCCCACAGAATACTTTTTATCACAAAGAAAGGACTAAGTTAGCGCCGAACGTTTCTACGCATAGAGACCCAGTGCAGACACAAGAGCTACAGCCATGCTTAGATTGTGAGACAACAAGACATTGGGGGAGAAATTAGATCAGCTGCTGCCAACATAAATAATCCTAGAAGGGCATAGGACCATCAGACTTTTCTTGTCAATTCTATATTGCAGACTTTTTTTTTATAAAGATACAGTTTCTATTCATGTGGCCTACAGAACAAAATATGAAGGAAACCTTACAAGGGCAGGCTCTTTTTATTGGAAAGGCACAAATTTAAGAACAATCATTATGCTGTAATTGCGACTTTAAAGTGTATGCATAGCTAAAAAAAAAAATGTTGTGTTAGTTTTGGATAGAGTATGGAAGGGTTAAAACCACCACCAGTTTTTTTTCTGCTGTGTGTGTGTGTGTGTACCATTGGGGGAATTTGACTTTATATCCTGTCCAAGAGATGTGATCAGAAGTTGCTTAAAATCTCATAAAGTGAGGGCAAATCCCCTTTTAAACAGTTGTCCCGAGAACAAGTGATCTTTTTGGAAGATTAGCTTTTGCTCTTGGGGACAACTCTAACAAAAAAAAAAAAAACTTGATAGAAAGTCTAAACCAGACTTCTCTATCCAAAAAATGCATAGAGATTCACTTTAAGAGAATTTACCTTCCTAATCCACGCTTTTTTTCAGAGTTCCGCAAATCTTCATTGACCTTGCTATCACTTCTGTGTCTCCCATTTTGCACCCCTGCAAATAAACAAAACCGTCAGTCGCATAATTGACAGACAAGCAAAGTAAACAAGCTTCTTAGAATCTGTGTAACAAGAATATAATACTGAACACATAACAACAAAATACACCTTGAGGACAATTTATCAAAACTGGAGCAGACAAAATCTGGAGTAGCTGTGCATGGCAACCAATCAGCTTCTATCGTTCATTTTAAAAGCATGAAGAGAAACTGAAGAGAGAAGCCGATTGTTTGTCATGGGAAACTGCTCCAGATATTGTCTGCTCCAGTTTTGATAAATTGCCCTTATACAGTACTACAAGGATCTAAAACATCCAGCGTGTCGCCCTGGTGACACTTGCTTGAAGAAACAGCGAAAAAAACGGAGGAAAAGAAAAAAATTCCCAGAGAAATTTTTTTAGCTCCTTACTCCTGACGCTAGGCAAAAAACTGGAGACTTGTCAGCAAGTGAGGGGTTGGGCCACCAGCAGGGGCCGCCCCTAGGCTGTCTTGTCTTTTTAGTTATGTGCCTAGCGTCCTACTCCTGCAGGTGGCGATATACCTACCATTCAGGATCTACGATCTGTTGCCCTGTGTCCTTCAAAGAACGGGAGAGAAACATGTACATATACCAAAGGACATAGCTAACAGTAAAGGTGGCAATACCTGGTTCAAATTCCAGATGTTTCCTGCTGAAGTGGCATGGGAACACATAACAAACATAGTGGAGGGTTCTCAAATGTGTCTGCAAATGTGGAAATATTGTTTAAAGTGACTCTAAACTCAGGAGTTAAATCTTAAAAATACATTGAAGTATCCAAACTATTAACAAAAAGGTAGTTTATTTGTGTATCACTTAGCTGTAGATCCTTAAAATCATCTCTGAATTGGTGTTGACACTGTCCTTCTGGAGGGTGGCTGCATTTGTTCCCCATGGTCCCTGTGTGTGTTGTAAAGTAGCCACCTCTCCAAGATTCGCTTCTGTGATGGACTGCAATCTCACATTTAGACTACTAAGTGGCTGGCTACTTTACAACAGTGGTGGCTACTTTACAACAGTGGTGGCTACTTTACAACATACACAGGGACCATTGGCAACAAAAGTAGCCACCCTCCAGAAGGAATAATGGTGTTAAGATTTAACTCCTGAGTTTAGTTGCACTTAATGTTAAAGAATTTTACAAAACTGCACAGATTTGAAAATGTGTGTGTGGCCTGATAATCTTGACCCTGTTATGCCATGATGCTGATGCATTGATTTAAAATCTGGTGTTGAGCTCTGGCATGTGACACTGGCCTCCAGCTCCTTCCAGCTGGGTCTATCCCATTTCTGAGGGTCCTGTGCTCAGCACAAACTTGAGATTTTGAGGGTGATTCCTACTTTTAATGCAAATCCCTCATCTGAGCCCCCCCCCCCCCCATAAAAACAGG